CGGAGGAAATTCGTAGCAATTTGCAGCAACAAAGGGGGGTTTATTACGTAAAAGTCCGTGCCCCATCGCATCTGGGTACTGGGTTACGCCTTACTAAGAGAATTACTGCTACAGGAGGCACACGACCGAATTACCTCAGGAAATTTTGGGGTCAAAGAAACTCAACAACAACTACAGTGATATTACTACTGGCTCGAGATACTTACCGGCGTGCAGTGACATGAGGATTGCGTCCAATTTGCGAGCTCATGAAGTCGTCACAAAAGCGGCCAACAGGATAGTTGCAGCCGATACCACCCCCAGAGCGTGCTTGGCAGTAGGTGATGATGGACTTAGTCACGAGTTTACTGGCTGGGGCGAGCAGGAACGAGGCGATCTTGGTCGTCGTTGATCGGCTAATGAAAATGGCTCATTTTGCAGCGTGCAAGAAGTCAATCTCAGCAAAATAAATGGTCCGACTGTTCATCTCCACCGTCGTTCCACTGTTAATTGACCAGCGCTGACGTGACAGTACGGACAGGCGTAAATTACTAAAGTACCTTTGTGGACAGCCTTACCTCAACCCACTACAAGTTCGTTCGCTTGATTTCCTCAAGTCTAGCTTCCACTAAACGGTCACCTACAAAAAGGGAACCTTGAATATCGCCGACGCATCGACCGCCCAACTGCCCAGAAACACACCTTACTACTTGCCCAGACCAGCCCACTGCTTAAAGACCAATTTACCCACGGCTACCAGACAGACCCGTTCTACACTGGACGAAATTCGTAGCAGTTTGCAGAAGAAAAGTGGGTTTATTACGCAACAGCAGGTACCGATTGCATCTGGATACCGGGCTATACTTTACAACGGGAATTACTGCGACAAGAGGTAGACAACGGAGTTACCTCAGGGCATTTCGGGGTCGATAACTATTGGCCTGACCGACGTAGTGACACGTGGCATCATGTCCCACCTGCAAGCTCATGAAGTCATCACGAAAGCGGCCGGCATGACAGATGCAGCTGATACCACCCCCAAAGCGTGCTTGGCAGCATGTTACGCTGGACTTCTTCACGTGGTTACCGGCTGGGGCGAGTGGGAACGGCGCGATCTTGGTCGCCGTTGATCGGCTAATAAAAATGGGCCATTTTGCCGCACGCAGCAAGTCAATCTCAGCCAAAGAAACGCCCCATCTTCCCCACCGTCGATCGACTGCACAGGATACCTGCAGCAATCATCGGTGACCGCAACATGAAATTCACCAGCAACTGTTAAAGCAGCTAGGTAAAACAGGAATGAAAGGAAGAGGGGTTTCACTAGCAGACAGTTCGGATACAAATGGCAAACCCTAACCGGGCTGTACTCACTATAGAGTACCCCACTGCAGACTAGACAAATATCACATTCTGACACACCCCCATAGGCAAAGTAAGGTATAATCAGCACAGCAAGCAGACATAGAGGACTCGTGAGGAGGAGGAGGGGCTGTGAGAGGAGAGGAGATTAGAGGCGACGACTGAAGCTGCTGGCACACGGGCTACTGGAGCAACTGGCACACGGGCTACCGGAGCCAATCCCCCGGACTACTGGAGTAACTGGCTCCGCGGCTAAGACGAGCGGCTGGAGCAACGGACCCACGGGCGACTGGCGCAACGGGCTCGCTGGCTACCGGAGCAAGGGCGTACGGACTACTGGCGCTGCTGGCTCCACAACGGCTACCTCCGTTCAACCTCCCCCACTGTCGCAGACCCCCTTTCACCCCCCCCCCCTGCTGCACCCCTAGCTCCACTCCCACGGCACCCCCCTAGCGCCACTCCCTCGGCTCCCACACATCCACCCCCCTCATCGTCAGCCATAGCAGTGGGAGACGGAGGAGGAGGAGGAGCAGGGGACGGCTCACACACCCACCACCCCCATAGCTGCAGGCGCAAGAGGGAGAGGAAGGAGAAAGGGGAGGGGCAGGGGGGAAGCAGCCCCGCTGTGCACGGGGTCAAGGAGCGGCGCGCGGGTCCCCGAGGGCGCCGTGACAGGCGACGGGGGGTGGCGCGCGGATCCCCGGGGGGGCGCCGCGACGGACGACGGGGACGGCACGCTGATCCCCGGGGGCGCCGCGACGAGCGACAGATGGTTGCGCGCGGGTCCCTGAGGGCGCCGCGACGGACGACGGGAGGAGTGTGCGGGTCCCTGAGGGTGCCGCGACGGGCGACAGGGGCCGGCGCGCGGGTCCCCGGGGGCGCCGCGACGGAGCGTGAAAACCGCTGCGCGCGCCCAAGGCGCGCTGCGGGCAGGAATCCGCCACGCGCCCCGAGCGTGTGGCGGGCTGAAAACCGCCACACGCGCCGAGCGCGTGGTGAGAAGAAAAAACATCGCGCGCCACTGGGCGCGCGACAGATAGAAGAGCAGCGGAAGCATGTGGGCCCACAGGCTAGGAGCATAGACGCTCTGACAGCATGTTAAATCAGCTAGGTAAAACAGGAATGAAAGGAGGAGGGGTTTCACTAGCAGGCAGTTGGGATACAAATGGCAAACCCTAACCGGGCTGTACTCGCTATACAGTACCCCACTGCAGACTACACAAATATCACATTCTGACAGCAACTTCTGTAGAAACCTATGGCAGCATTTCGGCACGTGATTACAATTTAGTTCATTCGACCACCCCGAAACTGTCGGTCAAACAGAGCGGACAAATCAGACCATGGAGCAGCTAATCCGAGCCACGTGCAACGACCCGACAATTTGGGAGCAGCAGCTGCAACTCGTCAAATTTGCGTACAACTCCAAATCAGCCACGACACAACAGTCAGTGTTCTACCCAACTACGGACAAAAACCCCACAGTATCAATGACCCCAAATCTCGACAACCTAGCCCCACGCGCACAACAGTTCTCCAAAATTTCACAGGCCGTCCGGACCCGAGCAGCTGACGTCATTAAATAATCCAACATCATCGCTAAGCGCAACCCCGATCGCTTCCTGAGTCCCGTCACTTACCAGCTCAACGACCTTGTTTTACTCGACACTCAAAACCTCCGCATGCCCGTCATTCCGTCATTGTGCATTAGTCACATGTTTAAACTCGTCACCGCCCACCTCCTCCTACCCACTTTTTGGTACGTCAGCCCGTCATTCCATGTTAGTCTACTCTGCCCATAAGTCCCGTCGACCAGCCAAGTGCCACGCAGTCGCCCAGCCAGCATGACACGACCACTAACGGAGCTTATCATCACACCCGAAAAAAATCCGAGCCACCGACTTCATGATCCACGTGGAGCTTGCAGGATTGAATTCCTAATTCGCTAGAAATACTGCACGCCCATCGAAGACAACTGGGCGCCCTTGGATAGAATAAAAAACCACCATATCCTCACTGAATACCTACGCAGCCGCAACTTCCAGGATTTACATGCACTCTCGTAAGGAGGGCCTCTTGGGAAGGGGGGTAGTGTAAGGAAATTTCCTTACCCTTATTTCGTGCCCCTGCTTACCGCGTACCCCACTATTCGTGCCAACAGAACCCAACAGTGCACTGGTACCATTCGCGACACTCACCACCACTGTTCCTGGCACTGTACACAACGCGACCCAGCCTCACGGCTCGGCTGGTAACCCGCGCTCCGGGCCTACGCCACAACATTTCCCTGTCAAACTATATATGTTGTGTTATAATGTGTAAGCTGTAGTGGGGTAGCCAATATGGGGTACAACCCCTTTAGGGTTTGTATTTGTACCAAACTCTCTGATAGTGCATTCATTCCTGCTCCTAATCTTGACATAGTATTCAGAGCAGTAGGTCCGTAGGACCGTTTTGTTTTTGTTTTGTTTTTTTTTTTTTGTTTTTATTTTTTTTCGGGCCCACCTACCGTTGCGGTTACCGAGCTACCTCACGCCCTGCCCTACGTTGCGCTCCTCGCGCGCGCCCTGCCCTGCGCCGTGCTCTAGCGCGCGCCCTGCCCTGCCTTGCCCTGCGCTGCGCTACTCGCGCGTGCCCTGCCCTGCCCTGCAGCTCGCGCGTCGCCCGCCTGCTGCCCGCACGTCGCCCGCTAGCAGCCCGCACGGCCCGCGCTCTGCCTCTGCCCGCGCGTCGCCCGTTTGCAGCTCACGCGTCGCCCGCTTGCTGCCCGCGCGTCGCCCGCTAGCAGCCCGCGCGGCCCGCACTTTGCCTCTGCCCGCCTGCGCGCTGCCCCTGCAGGCCCGTCAGGCCCGCGCACCGCCCTCGCCGCCCGCGCGCAGCCGTCGCCTGCTCGCGCGCGGCCCCTGCTGGCCAGCGCGCCACCTTCGCCGCCCGCTCGCGGCCTCTGCCCGCACGCGCGCTGCCCCTTACCCGCGCGCGCGCTGCCCCTTACCCGCGCGCTGCTCCTTACCCGCGCGCTGCCCCTTCCCCGCGCGCACGCTGCCTCTGCCGGCCAGCGCACCGCCCACCTGCAGCCCACGCCCTGCCTTTGCTTTGCCTTTGCCGTGTGCCGCCACTGCAGCCCCGCGTGCAGCTTCTCCCAGCCTGCTCTCTGCCCAGCCGCCCGCACGCTGCCCTTACCTGCGCTGCGATCATGGCAACTCTAAACGTCCTCTCATTTGAGCCTGACGGTCGCCCGATACAATTCGCCACTTGGCTCGACGACCTGCAACTGTTCCTTATGACCGATGCCAAAGACGGTGATTCCCTGTACGATCACGCCTCTGGCTCCTCCGTTGCTCCTTATGACACCGCTGACGCTCTCGCTCGCTCACAGTGGCAGACCCGTGATGCTGCTGCTCGCCTCACTATTCAAAATCATTTGCCGATCACTGAGCGCGCGCACTTTAGCCAGCACAAGACAGCTAAGGCACTGTATACCATTGTAGTTGCCCGCTACTCTTCCCCAGCCACTGCAGCCCTAGGTCGTCTTATCCCACCCTACCTGTTCCCCGACCTGTCCTCGTTTATCACCGCTAAGGCCTCATCTCTCACCTTCGCGCTAGTGACGCTCGCTTTCGTGCCGCCCTTCCAGACGAGTTCCTCGCTGAGAATCCCCCCCGATGTACTTTACTCTCTACTTCCTCGTCACCCGCCTCCCTGACACTCTTCGTTCAGTCAGGGACCACTTTCTCGCCCTAGACCCTACCACTCTCACTGTCGCCGACTTTGAGAAGCACCTCCTAGCAGCGGAAAAGAGTATTCTCGCTGTAGGTGCTGCTCGTGGCACTCCTCGCACTCCCCTCTTTGAGGGGTGCTCCCCCTCCCCTCTTGCCCCCTCCTACGCCTCTGCTGCTGCTGCTGTCGACTTCCTTGGTGCTGAGGAGGTCGGGGCTGCTTCCGCTCCTAGTGGGAAGCGCCGCGGCGCCAGGGGCAGCAAGGGTGGCAGGGGAGGTGGAGGTGGCGGTGGAGGGGACGGTGGTGGAGGCGGCGGGTGAGGTGGAGGTGGTGGGGGTGGTCGTGGGGGTGGAGGCGGTGGTGGGGGCGGCGATGGTACCGGGAGCGGTGGAGGTGGCAGCGGCGGTAGTGGGGGAGGAGGGAGCGGTGGTGGCAGCGGCGGTGGGGGCTGGAGTGGGATCGGCCAGAAAGTGGGCTCCAATGGTGGCCAGGGGCAGCAACAGCAGCGTCAGCGCGAGACCCCCACGACTCAGCAGCTTTGTGACTTGTGCATTCAGCGTGGGGCGTCTGGGGGTCCTGTTCGCTGCCCGTATATCATTCGCACAGGCGCCCGCGCTGGTCAGCCATGCAAGTTTCACACTGAGTACCGCTGCTTCTCTCGGCTTAGCGACGCCTGCCGCGACAAGTTTCCTGAGGCTACTGAGTTCCCCCCCTGGGCAGACCTGCTTAGGCGTGATGTTCTTAGTCTTTGATCTTGACTATGATGCAATTCTTGCTGCCATGTATGCATTGACTGTTAGTGCTGAGGGTGACTGCTACTTGTGTATGCCGCCTGACCCAAGTGCATGTGTGAACGTGGCCAGGTGGGGCCCAGCCCGTGTCCAGGGCCGCGAGCGGTACTTCCTGCTGGTCGTCGACGACTACACGCGTTACACCACGGTCTTCCCCTTGCAGCGCAAGGGGGATGTCCCTGCTGTTTTGATCCCTTGGATCCGCGCTGTTCGTCTCTAGCTCCGCGAGCGGTTCCACTCGGACTTTCCTGTCCTGAGTCTGCACTCTGACAGAGGTGGTGAGTTCACCTCCGACCTCTTGCGAGCCTTTTGTGAGGAGGAGGGCATCCTCTAGTCGTTCACGCTTCCGGCCTCCCCGCAGCAGAATGGGGTTGCTGAGCGCTGCATTGGCTTAGTCATTGGCTGAGCTCAACCTCTGGCCCCGTGTCTCCGTGCCGGAGACTTCGCCCACACTACGTTGGACGGGGGAGGTTGGCGATGCGTCGCGATTCCGGGTCTGGGGTGCCCGTGCCTTTGTCCGCGATACCACTGCGGACAAGCTCTCCGCTCGCGCCATTCCCTGCGTCTTCCTTGGCTTTCCCCCTGACGCGCCTGGCTGGCAGTTTTACGACCCCGCCTCGCGCCATGTCTTTGCGTCTCAGGAAGTCACCTTTGACGAGTCGGTCCTCTTTTACTGTCTCTTCCCTACCGCACTGCCCCTCTTTCCCCCCCCTCGCCGCTCTTTCTCGCTCCAGGTCCCCCCCAGGTAGACCCCCTCCCCCCTCCAGGTCCTGCTCCTTCAGGTGTGTCTCAGGTAGACCCTCCTCCCTTGACTGAGCCTGTTGAGGTCACTGGTGACTCAAGTCCTGCTGGGGGTGGTCCTGCTTGGGGTGCTGCTTCTGGGGGTGCTGAGCCTGAGGGTGCGGAGCCCGGGGGTGTTGAGCCTGAGGGTGTAGAGCCTGGAGGTGCTGAGCCTGAGCGTGAGGAGCCTGGGGGTGCTGAGCCTGAGGGTGCTGAGCCTGGGGGTGCTGAGCCTGGGGGTACTGAGTCTGGGGGTGCTGCGCCTGGGGGTACTGAGGCGCCTGGTGAGCAGTCTCCTTGGAGCGGCCGCCCACGTAGTCGCTCCGCAAGAATCAGAGGTAGCGTGGGGATAGTGGAGAATGGGCTTGGCAGCTGCCGAGTGCATGCCGGTGTGGCGACCAAAGCCAACAAAGTGAGAGAGGACACTAAGGGGGTAAGCAAGATCGAGGCGAGTTCAGGATAGGGGTCGCAACTTTGAGGAAGGAGCGGGAACGACAGGAGCAGTAATCTGATGGTTAGCAGGAAGCAGAGTGGAAAATGGCTTGGCCTACGACATTTCAAAGCGCTCAAGAATGGAGTGGATATAGAAGGGTTGAGAGAGAGAGAGATGGTGCGCGCAGCACGATCGCGACGAATCTCCATGCCGAGGTAGTGACGAAGCTCGCCAAGATCCTTGCACAGGAGACGCGCCTGGAGGGCCTGCTTGACAGCGGCAAGGTCGGCAGAATCTTTAGCAAGGAGCAGCAAGTCATCGACGTAGGCAAGATTGTAAAGCCTGTGAGAGGAAGTGCGAATGAGGAGAATGGGGTCGGAAGAGAAGGTGGAGAAGCCAAGAGAGTGAAGAGTGGAGGTGAGCTTAACATGCCACTCGCGTGGGGCTTGGTCAATACCGTATAGTGGTTACTTCAGCTCCCAGACAGTGCCTGGGCAAGGAAAGTTAGCGGGGCACTCAAGGAAAATGCGTTCATGAAGCTCGCTCTAGAGAAAGGCATTAGAGACACCCATAAAGTGAATCTCCCAATCCCAACGGGCGCCTAGATCAAGAAGGAGGCGAAGAGTGGGGAGACAGGCAGTGGGGGAGTAAGTGGCAAATTAGTCAATGCCTTTACGTTGGGTGAAGCCTTTGGCGCAGTAATAGGCTTTAAAGACAGGGAGCTTCCGAGGCAACTGTTTGGCACGGAGGGAATAGATAGTCGCAAAGCGAGAATGGTCATCGACGGAAACGAGAAAGTAGCGATGACCTTGACGAGAGGCAACGGGATAGGGACCCCAAAGGTTCATATTCACAAGATTAAGGGGTTTGGGGGAGGCAGAAGGGGAAGAAGGATGAGGAGATTGGGAAAGCTTAGCTTAAACACAAGGGGTGCATGGAGGAGCAGGAGAGAGGGGAAGGGGCAGGGGAGAGGAAGGGAGATCGTGAAGCAGCTTCGATTGACCATGCTACGAAAGAGAGGGAAGTCGGAGTGGTCAAGACGGTGAAGGAGAAGAAGGGTAGGTTGGGTGAGAGATTGACAGTCGCAAGAGGAGATGGGAGGGGCTGAAGAAGAGGAAGTGTGAGGAAAGATGGGGGATGGGGACACGAAGGGTATAGAGGCGAGTAGTAGGAGAAAGGGTGAAAAGAGCGAGGTGCCTGTCGTGGTAATGAAGATCACACTAGAGTTCACCTGCGGAGAAGAGTGCTCGCACACCCAGGCTTTGGAGGGCAGGGAGGGGTAGGAGGTTATGACAGCAAGAGGAAACATCAAGGCCAGCAACAACGCCAAAAGGAGAGTCACGACATGGAAGAGAGGAGGTGCCAGTGTAGGTCATGTTCATGGTCTCCCCAGCCCCATCAATAAAGAGTGGACGAGAAAAATTACGAATGACACCGGCATCACGACAGTGTTAATAGCAGCACTATCAAGGACAGGTGCGAGGAACTAATATAGCGGTGGCCGTAGGGCTGGGAGAGTGAGAAGCAATGCTATGAAGAGGTGGAGAAAATGGAACGACAAAGCGAAGGTCCATAAGAGGAGAAGCACCAAGGATGCTATCCTGAGATGGCATGGGTACACTGAAAACAGAGGGCAGAGAACCAATACCAGAGGTTAAAGCGGCAAGAACATTCTGGACAGAAAGGTGGCGCTGCTGATGGGACAGAGGAATCCAAGCAGATAGGTGGACAAGGGGGTGCTCCAGCGGCAAGTAAGAGAGGTGGTGCAAGAGGAGGAAGGGGAAACGAAGGAAGCGGAGAGTAGGGAAGGCCAGGGTAGAAGAGGAGGTACAGTGGAAGGAGTGTGAGGGCGGATGCATAAAGGAAGAGAGGTAAGATTGTAATAGGCGCCATCAGGGGGAGGGGATAGCAATGGAGCAGATGTGGGGAGACAAAAGAGAAATCGGGGCGAGGTAGTCAGTTGCTAAGCCATTGAGGTTAGAAGTAAAAGGAAGAGGGATAACGGCAGAGTAGTCTGCTGCTGCGCAGCTGAGGGGAGAAACAAAAGGAGGAGGGATGACAATGGAGTAGCCAGCAGCTGCGCCGCTGAGGGGAGAAATAAGAGGAGGAGGGATAACGACGGATTAGTCTGTTGCTACACCGTTGAGGGGAGAAATATGAGGAGGAGGGATAACGGCGGGGTAGTCTGCTGCCGAGTCACTGAGGGGAGAAACAAGAGGTGGAGGATTATGGGCGGAGTAATCTACTGCTGAGCAGATGAGGCAGCCGACAACCATCTGCAACAGTTCAGGAGAGAGGCGGAGGAGAGAGTGAGATGCGGAGGGGATGAAGGGAGAAAGGTGAGGAGGAGGAGGGTGAAGGGTCGGATGGTGTGGAGGGGTAGGTCTCGATGAGGAAGACTACAAAGCAAAAACGATAACCAGCTGCAGTAGTAGAGGAGAGTCGAGATGCGTAGGAGAGAGTAAGATGTGGAGGGGAATGAAGGGAGAGAGGAGAGGAGGAGGAGGGTGAAGGGGCGGATGGTGTGGAGGGGTAGGTCTCGATGAGCAAGGCTACAAAGCAAAAACGGCAACCAGCTGCAGCAGTAGAGGAGAGTAGAGAGGCCGAGGAGAGAGTGAGATGGGGAGGGAATGAAGAGAGAGAGGAGAGGAGGAGGAGGGTGAAGGGGCGGATGGTGTGGAAGGGTAGGTTTTGATGAGCAAAGCTACATATCAAGAGCGTCAACCATCTGCATGAGTTGAGGGGAGGAGAGGGGGGAGGAGAGAGTGACATTAGGAGGGGAAGGAAGGAGGAGAGGAGAGGAGGAGGATTGTGCGAAGGGGTGAGTTCGAACTTAGGGTGAGTTCAGTTTATGCTGTAGCTACGAAATGAACCTAAATTGAACCTGAAAGTGTAGCTCGCTCTAAGCATGGCGAAGTAATAAAAGACTGCCAAAATAGAACCAGAGCGAGCTCTAGCCTACTCCAACAGAACACCTATGCTAAATTAACAACTGTAAAAAAATATAGTTTGACACACCCCCATAGTCTAGGTGACTGTATTTCGGTGAAAAGCAACACTTACCTCTGGGAAGATCACGAAGTCACTACACAGACTGAGAACAAGGGTCACGAGACTAGATAGCAAGAATAGGCAATGTTTACAAGACCAGTCCACAAGAACAAAACAAATATTAGACTGGATCTCAAGATCACCACACGGTCCGAAAAGAAGCAAGGGGCTACAAGGCCAGTCCGCATGCAAGTATATAGCAAATATAGGCGATACAAGAGTATAAAACAAGCAAGAAAAGCATCTCTACATAAGCAATAGGCCACAAGGACAGTCCTCAATCAAAGATATAGCAAATATAGTGAGATCTATGAGTTTAAGACAAAACATCTCTACGCAAGCAAGTGAGGGTATATAGACACAAGGCCTAGGTGGGTGAAAACACACTGCTTCATAAGGCGGCAATGTCTTGGTGAAGATATCTGCAATGTTGGCCTCAGAGTCTACACGTTTCACGAGTGCCTTCCATCGCTGCTGCAACTCGCGAACAAGCACAGCCAACGGTACAGCAACAGTTACCACAAACACAGCATCAGCTAGACAAATTGAGGAAGCAGCTAGATTACTTGCTGGAGAAGAAGTTTATCCGACTGAGTTCGTCACCATTTGCCACACCGATACTGTTCACACCGCAAAAAAAAAAAAAAAAAAAAAAAAAAAAGAGGAGGTTTTTGC